TTTCTGAAAAACAGAAATGGAATACATGCTAGTGGTGGAGTAGCTACTTTCATTCGAAATGACACTGAAGCAAAAATCATTCCACTTATTACAAACCTGGAAGCTGTGGCTGTGTCAATTACCTACAGAAAAAACATCAATGTTTGTAATATATACTTACCGCATCCTAACCAAGACGACATAAATGAACTAACAGCACTCATAGAAAAAATTACCCCATCCCAAAGTAATTCTAGGCGATTTTAACTGCCATCACCCAGCGTGGGGTAGCCAAAAAATCGATAAATGTGGCAACTTTCTACACAGTCTGATAAATAAATCAAATTTAATCTTATTAAACACTGGAAAGCCAACAAGATTTAATTCATATAACGGATCATTCTCTGCAATTGACCTGACACTGTGTAGCCCATCACTAGCACACATGTTTCAATGGAACACAGCAAAAACTCTGCACGACAGCGACCACTTCCCCTTACTTATTTCAATCGAGACAAACCAACCTCTTAATCCGAATGTATATCAAAGATGGAAAATAAAATCAGCAAACTGGGAACTTTTTCAAAAAGACTTGGAAGATGAGATGGAAAAATTATGAGATATCAAATGACATTCACAAAACCGTCACGGACTTTAACAACATTATCTTAAATTGTGCATCTACATCTGTAGGAAAAACTAAACAGTGTAAAAGGCAACCGGTACCCTGGTGGAATCAAGAAATCTCTCGAGCCTTGGCTGCTAGCAAGCACGCCTTTAATGTTTTTAAGAGACACAAAACAGAGGAAAACCTAATAAAATTTAAGAGATTGAGAGCTAGTACACGATTCTTAATAAAAAAGAGTAAGAAGGAGACCTGGATTGAATATGTTAGAAGCATTAACACATCCACACCAGCAAATATAATCTGGAACAAAATAAAGAAAATAAAAGGATCAAGTTTACCTTACTCAATAAATGCACTTTCATATAACAACCAAATTATCTCTTGTAGAAACGAAATTCCTGAAATTCTAGTGGACGTATTTCAAAAAAACTCTAGCGATTCTGTACTAGATCCGATCTTTTCTACACATAAGACTACCACAGAATTTGTAGACATCAAAATTCGCAACCAGATCTCTCCCATAAATGTACCCATAACTTTGCAAGAATTAGATTTTTCTCTTTTAAACTTAAAAACCACATCTCCAGGTCCTGATGATATTCCATCGATATTTTTAAAAAATCTACCCCAAAAATGCAAAAAGATACTTTTAGACATCTTTAATCACATCTTTTTAAATCATTACTTTCCTGATAATTGGACCAAAGCTATTATAATCCCAATTTATAAACAACACAATCCAAAAGATTGTCCCACATCTTATCGTCCTATTTCCCTCACCTGTAGCATGTGTAAACTTCTCGAGAAAATTTTAAATTACAGGCTTACATGGTATCTAGAAAATGAAAATCTCCTGACCACAGTTCAAAGTGGTTTTCGACGAGGAAGATCTGCTAACGACAACTTAGTGGCACTTGAGTCAACCATTCATGATGCATTCTTACTAGATCAGAAAGTTATAGCAGTCTTTTTCGATGTGAATAAAGCTTTCGACACGACATGGAGATACCTCATATTAAATAAACTTGATAAATGGGGAATTCAAGGACATATGCTTGCGTTTATAAAAAACTTTCTGAATAAAAGAGAAATACAAGTAAGAGTAAATGGATACACCTCTACCACTAGAATACTCGACAACGGTGTTCCACAAGGTTCTATTTTAAGCCCAACTTTATTTTTAATTGCATTTAACGATGTAATAAATACAATTAAGCCTCCTATAAAAGCAAACTTATACGCTGATGATTTAGTTGTGTATATTAAATGCAAAAATATTACATCTGGGGCTAAAATACTACAGAACCTTCTATACAAAATCGAAGAATGGTCTTCCAAAACAGGCTTCCTCTTTTCAACTAATAAGACACATTACACAGTTTTCAGCAAACGCAAGAATACCATTCCTGTTTCGTTAATATTTAACGGTCAAAATATATCTCATTCAGAGGAATCGAATTTTTTGGGCCTAACGTTTGATTACAAATTAAACTGGAAAACACACATTACGACTTTACAACTAACTTGTCAAAATAGAATAAACTTGCTGAAAATTCTATCCAATAATATATGGGGAGCTGATTCTAGTATTCTGCTTAACCTCTACAAATCAATTATTCGCAGTAAACTAGACTACGGTGCAATATGCTACGATACAGCAAATAAAACGTTTCTAAAAAACCTTAACACAATTCAAACAACAGCTCTAAGATTAGCCGTCGGTGCCTTCAGAACCAGTCCTGTAAGCAGCTTACAAGTAATATCAAGAGAACCCCCTCTACATTTAAGACGACATCTACTTAGTTTAAATTATGCAGCAAGAATATCTTCCAATAAAAAGCACCCATTATATTCTGAGATTATTTCCGCACCTACATCCAATTTGTATAGAAACAAACAGTATAAAGACAAACCCTTTAGGGAAAGAATCAATCAAAAAGGATTCAATTGCAATGAATTCAAATTATCCATAACTACAAAATTAGACTTTCCTCCATGGCTTACCCCCTTACCTATCACCGATTTAACTTTAACACAGTATCCAAAAAATACCACAAATCCTAACCTTATCATTAACGCATTCAAAGAAATTATGGAGAAGTATCCAAATCACCACATAACATACACAGATGCATCAAAAACTGAAAGTGGCCATGCTGCAGCCCTCACAAATAAAAATTACAAATATGCCATTAGAATTCCACGGCATTGCAGCATTTACACCGGAGAAACCACAGCGATATTAGAAGCTATCAAGAAATCCTCTTCAACGACTGAAAATAATATTTTAATCATCACAGATTCACTGAGCGCAATTCATGGAATTAATCAACTTTACCCTAGCCATCCTATTGCACAAAACATAAGAAATAAACTTAATGCACTACACCATATAAATAAAAAGGTTACATTTATCTGGATACCTTCACACATTGGCATTAAAGGCAACGAGGAAGTTGATCAATTAGCATTAAAATCCATCAGAAATAAAAATGTTCCAGAAATTACTAAATATCCCCACACCGACCATAAACGACAGTCCATGAATCATATAATAAATTTATGGCAAGCAACCTGGGATGCAACAGACTCTAAGTTGAAAACAATAAAGCCTCGAGTAGACTCTAGCCTACCACAACAAGGAAAAAGAAGAGATCAAGTAATCGTAAATCGTCTTCGAATCGGCCATACAAGACTAACACACCAACACCTTCTAAATAAAGAACCAGCTCCAATTTGTACCTACTGCTCTACTCAACTCACGGTGAAGCATCTGATAGTCGACTGTCCGCAGTTCCAACCTCAGAGAACATGCCGAGGAATTAGAGGAAACCTGAGAAGTGCGCTTACGACAAATATCTCGGATTTATTGCAGTTTCTAAAAGACATAAACATTTATAATAAACTTTAATTTAACAAATTGTACTACTATGTATGTCCCCCCACTAATAACCCTTGGTGGTTGATGTGGGTTTTGTATGTTTAAATAAAAAAAAAAATTAATCTCGCTTTGCCTATGGGACAGAACTCTAAATTTCCCGATGCCCAACAACGTGTGCAGGATTTGTGTGATTTTACAACAGTGCACTTTAAAAAAAAAAAAAGGAGTTATGAATAAGAAAATTGAACAAAATGGGGAGTCTGAGAGGCACTGATCTAAAGTGGTTCGGTTTATACTTGAAAGACAGATGCCAGTCTGTATCAATCAATGAGCGCTACTCTAGTAATATCTTTATTAATTGTGGAGTACCTCAAGGCTCTGTCTTGGGTCCTATCTTCTGCTTGATATATTTTAACGACATAACTAACCTCGACATTAATGGCCGGTTTACTATATTTGCAGATGAGACTACAATTTTATGGCAAAACCAGGACTCTAAAGTACTAAACAAGATTATTAGTAGTGTTATGCTAAAAATCTTGGAGTGGTGCAAAGCTTATCATTTGACATTTAATTTTTCGTAAAACCAAATTAATTTCTTTTAAGAATGATCTAAATGTAAACAAATGTTGAGGTCTCTAAATTGATAATAAACTTAAATTTGAGTAACACAGTCTATATTAAAGCAAAAAGATATTATCGGCTTGCTTTGTGGTCAAATCAGTTGCTCACAATTTAGATTTCAACATTGCAAAACGTGTTTATGTGGCCCTGATGGAATCTAATTTGAGATTCGGTATTGCCTTTTGGGGTAGCTGTTCTCTTCATCATTTCAGTAGAAATTTTATGCTACAAAAGAGAGCACCCAAATAGTCATGCAAGGTCAAGTTTAGTACATTATGCAGGCCTGTGTTCCAGAAATATGGTATCTTGACACTTCCTTGCATGTATATGCTTGCATTAGGGTGCTTAATTTTTAAAAAAACACAAAGAGGATATTCGGACAGTTTTCTCTTATAACACTCGCCTAAAGTATGTTCTTTCACTTCCAATTCCCTCTTCTACAATAATTAAAAAATTATATATTTACACTAACGAGAAAGTGTTTAATCAGCTACCACTGGATATAAGATCCTCAAACAATATGTTTGTATTTTGAAGAGCAATCAAGAAGTTTTTATTATCTAAATGTTATTATAGTATGGAGGAATTTTTTGAGAAAAGTTGCGCTAATTGAAAAAAAAATTGAAAATAATTATGAACATTTTATAATTTGTTTTTTAATGTATCTTTTGCCTTATTTGTACTATACCACGTTGTGTTTTATAAATGTAAACTCATTTTAAAAACAATAAATTTCTCTCTCTCTCTCTCCCTCTCTCTCTCAATTCTTCAATCAATAATATATAGTAAATTTAAATTGACATAAATGTAGGGTATATAAATATATAGTCATAAATTACATAAGGGAAAAATAATAAAATACGGAATGAACTACAAATATTTACTTACGTCAATAGCAAGCTCGAAATCCTTCCTATCGATGGTCCCGCTTTGGTTTACATCTGAAAACCAAATTCATGTGTCAATAAAAATGGGTAAAACATATTTGCTTAGTACTATGTTATCTCGTTTTAATGTTGCGCTGAACAAATATAAATTGGATTTTAATTAAAATTCGTTTAACCCAAAATATTTTTGAAACGTACGAGTACATCTCTTTAAGGTCCTTTCAACAGAAATTATATGTTATACAGAGTAACGAAAGTTAGTGACAACTAAGGGATGACTATTTAGGGGATGATTTTTTCTTCGCTATATTAAATTGTATTACAAATGGAATAGACCAGTTTTTGTCCCTTTAAAAAATCTCTATTTTGTTAAGAAATATAGCCTGGATAATTTAGTCTAGGATACTTATAAAATAATAATAAAATAATTAAAAATAAATTGATTTCTTGATTATTTACAAACCGATTTTATTTTTAATAAATCTGTTGAATAGACGATAGAAGACCATATCCAAAACTATAAAAAAAAATATACAGGGTGCTATTAAAAAAATTAAAGTTAGGGGTTGTAACTAAGCGATAAATATTTAGGGGATGATTTTTTTACGTCATATTAAAGTATATTACAAGTTGAATAGATCACTTTTTGTCGAAAATCTCTATTCTAGCCCAGGGAAATAAGCATTTTTTCATGACACTCGTCCGGCCAGGCAAACAACAGTTGTTTCGAGTAGTGTGGACCTCTGTAACAAAAACCTATATGTTTCCTGCAGTCGATTTTTTGGACTAAATTAGTTATTAACAAATTAAGTTCAAAAAACAGGATTAGTTAGATTAGATTCAAATTTTAGAAGACAGGAAATTTATAAGTTATATAAAATCCTTCAAAATGGCGTTCTCAAAATGTTTCTATCCTTATTTGTTGTTTAGAAAGTTGCAAAATAAGTCAAAAATTTTGGTTTTTTATAAATGTTAATAACTTTTTTGAAAATAAACCTATAATATTTATATTTCATGGAATGATGTGTCTTGTAGTGCTTAAAATAGGGTTTAAATTTCAGAGTGATCGGTCCAATAGTTTAAAAGTTATTTTATTTGTTTATCCCAAATTAACATTTTTTGCAACAATATAAGTCAGAAATTTATACAGTTTTAGAAATTGTAAGGGTTGTTTCTGGTAGAAGAAGACTTGTTTTATTATTTACTTTAAAAAGAAATTAGGAAAATTAATTTTAAATATTGCAAAATAATTTTGCAAAAACATGTCGATTTTTTGCTTATAACCAATTAGAATAACTTTTTAACCGTTTACTGTAAAAATATTATTTTTACATATTTAAAAAGCTTGAATTTTTTCATAAATTTAAATAAAAAAAGTTTGTCCTAAAATAATTTGGTACAAAGTTAGCCTCTCTTTTATTTAATTCATAGCACCTTTGTTTATAACAATTAAGAAATCTAATTAGCGCTATTTAAAAGAATATACACTATAGTTTTAAAGTACCAAATTTTAAAATTATTGTGCTTTAATGGAATCCTCCACAAAGCTTCAAAATGTATGTAAAATCGGTCGGCTTTGAAACTATCGGCAGCTGAAGGGAGGGGGAAGGCGCTGTTAACTGTATCTCTGTTCCTTTTTTATATATTTTAACGTTTCTTTTTGAACTTGTATGCACTTTTTGCGTACATTACGAATATGCATTATTTCAATAAATAAATTCTCAAATAAACCACCTAATTTGTTTAAAAACAATTTTTTAGTAGTATTTAATTTAAGTTTGAATGTAAAACAGAAGTACTTTGGGTAATAAGCCACAATTTAAGTTTATAATAAGTTTATTTTTGACGTTTCGATTTCTACTTCGGAAATCTTTCTCAGAATACAGAACATTAACAAATTAATCAAATTTTGTTTTTGGTTACTTGGTAGAAAATTTGGTTGGAAAATTTTTCTGATAACTCTTCTGGGTGATTGATTAGGGTAAGGAAGCTCAGTAGATCTGTTTTAGTAAAAATTACAAAAAAAAAGTTATTGACAAAAATTGTAGACAGCTTTAAACTCCACATTTTTAAGTTAGTTACAAACTTACAGGGTGTTCTATAAGATTGTGGCAGACCAAACTTATGTTTTTTTTTTTTTAATGAAACACCATGTATTTTATTTTAAATTTAAAATTTGCTTCACTTCCACATCACAACAATGTAAAATTTTATTATGTTATACCGGGTATTTAAAAAGATATAACCAATATTACCTGAAAATCGTATCAAGTTTAACTCCCTTATTATTAAAAATGAGTATGGGACCATTGATCTATTGCAACCATAGTTTTTTAATAATTGTTAAAAATTATAAAACATATTCGTTTTCATAATATTCGTTAAATTAAATACAGGGTAAGTCAAAATGCAAGTACATTATTTTCTTGGTAATTTTAAATAGAACACCCTGTATTTTATATCACTATCGAAAAGTACTAATATCGTACTTCAAATTTTATATAGTACTCCCTATACATAAAGTTATTAGTTTTCCAGATATTTTTATTTTTCCATCAAAGAATAAAGTTTGAAATTTTAACGTCTACCAATAATTATTGTGAGTTGGCCATGATTGATTTGTCAGAAACTGACAGTTTGACATTATTGTTTATTAATTCAGTATTGGGGTACATCGTAAATTTGCAACAATTATTATTTAACAATTCAATAATTTATTCAATTCGAAATTGGCAATAATGAATTTTACTACTGATGAAATGATAGATAAATATGATCTGGATATTGGGGGAATACAATAAAAATTCATTACTATCAGCTAGAATTTATCATGAACGGTTTCCAGATAGGCGGCAACCTAGACAAGATACATTTGAAAAATTGAAAGATCGATTTAACCGCACTCGTTCAGTGAATTCTGAAAAACATGAACGAAAAAAAACTAGTGTGACAGAGGAAAACGAAATGAGTGTGTTGATAGCAGTTACAGAAAACCCACTCACAAGTATAAGGAGTATTTCCAATAAGCAAGAACTTAGTTACTACTCTGTTCAAAACATTATATCTAAAAACAAGATGCACCCATATCATATTTAAAAGCACCAAGAATGAAATGATGATGATTTTCAGAACCGAATAGTATTTTGTGAATGGGCCTTAAAAAAAATTAATGAACAGAGATTTTTTTTGATTATATTATATATGGTGATGAAGCTGCATTACACTGAAACGGTTCTGTTAATAGGCATAAATAACTTTCACTACTATTCAACAAGTAATCCATACCAAATAGTAACACATAGTCAAACAAGATAATCTTTGAATGTGTGGGGAAATATCGTAGGTAACCATGTAGTAGGACCATATTTGTTTAAATATAACGTAAATGGTAAGATTTATTTAGATTATATCGTACATCAGTTACCGATATTATTAGAAGAGGTTCCACTTAATATACGTGAACAAATGTGGTTTTTACATAGAGGTGCTTCTGCGTACCACAACGAATTAGTACGTGGTGAACTTAATGATCAGTTTGCTGAAAGTTGGATCTTAAGGGGTGGCCCAAGGTCACCGGAATTCACTAAAGTGGACTCTTTTTTTGGGGTTACATTAAGCACGAAGTATATATAATACCTTTAACAACAAGGGATATAAAAAATAGAATCCGAATTGCATTTCAAAATATTTCTTTACAAATGCTTATTAATGAAAGTAACTCTTTCAATGACCGTTTTCAAGTATGCATAGATGTTTTGGGAGGTCATTTTGAACACCTTACTTAAGTATGATTAATTAAAATTTTTTTTTTTTTTTTTTACATCCTTTATTTATTGAAATCTGTTTCTACAAATAAAAAAAAACAATAATCAATATGTTTATCAAGTAATTAACATAGGGGAGATCAGTCCAGTGACAGAAATCCTTAAGATAAATTTCTAATATATATAAATATTTGAAATATAAATAACAATTTACAAAGACATTTTACTAACATATTAAAAAAAAATAGCAATATTTAAAATTAAAACAACACACACAATTATAAGTTGTAGGTATTTGTAATATAAGTTGTAGCTATAAAATGATATATTATACGTTTATGTATATAAAGGTATAGAGAGGTCTAGAGGATCACGTCGTTTTAGTCTTCCTCTCCTTGGTCGCTTAAGTAGGTCTTGGGCAAGTGTATTTGGATGGTTTAGTAGTCTATTTTTGTAAGTGCCACTGAGTGAGACAACGGTGTCTTTAATATTTTGGATCTGAAGATCTCGGTGTATAACATAATTGGGCACGTACCACGGTGCATTGGTAATATGTCTCAAAACTTTAGATTGGAAACGTTGAAGTTTCAGTAAGTGAGAATTAGATGCTGTACCCCATATCTGTATACCGTAGGTCCAAACTGGCTTTAGAACACATTTATACAGTAATAGTTTATTATGTAGACTTAGTTTGGATTTTTTATTCATGAACCAATACATTTTCCTGTATATTAATCCTAGTTGCAGTCGCTTTGTCCAGATGTGCTTTCCCCAATTTAGTCGGCTGTCAAAATGTATTCCCAAGTATTTAACATCACTTTTTTTGGGTATTATGGCATTGTTTATGCACACAGATGGTACACTCTCTTTGCGTAAAGTAAATGTTATGTGTGCTGATTTGCTGCCATTTACTTTAATTCGCCACAGTTTTAGCCATTTCTCTAGTTTATTTAAACGAATTTGTAAATTTTGACAGGCTGTAACAGGAACCGAGCTAGAAGCCATTATCACAGTATCATCTGCATAGGTAGCGATAGTGCTTTTTACTGTTGTGGGAATATCTGCCGTATAGAGTAAGTATAAAGTTGGTCCCAATATACTACCCTGAGGTACTCCCGATAGAATTGGAGATATGTTTGATACTGCTTCATTGCATCTGACCTGGAAATATCGATTGGTAAGATAGGATCTCAAAAGAGCATACAGAGGATGAGGAAAGTGAGTTTTTATTTTAGATAGTAGCCCCTCATGCCATACTTTATCAAATGCTTGTGAGACATCCAAAAAGGC